CCTCTGAATCTGATACAGCTATACGGGATTTGCTTACCCTCCCCTGAACCTCCCTTCTGGACCAGCGGGGGATATCCCGGTCCACTCTGGAGAGCAACCGGCTGTACCATCCCAGCTCTGAGTACCATTTGTACAGCTAAAACACTGCTCAGCGACACTTCAAGATGGCGGATGCCTCGTGTACAAAGGCAAGCAGCGTGAACGAGACAGAGAGGGCATTCAGCGACCCCATTGCTCACTCCCTGTGGCGGCTGGACCAGATCTTCCAGACCTTCTGGCAGAAAATACAAACTCGCACAACGGCAGCCATAACCCACAAGCCTAGCCGCGGAAGGGACTTCAGAGAAAAGAGCAGCCACACATGGCGACACCTCCTCAGAGCGCCATTCCAGCAGCTAAGCATCCACAACCCCAAGACCGCTCACCAAGGCCAGGGACCACCCGAGGTAAAACACTGAGGCACCGACCACATGGGATGAAAAACAGCCACAACAAACGGACATTGCCGCACACACACGTTCCGCCCTCCCCCTGCAAGGGAAAGACCTAGTCCCTAGACAAACCCAAGCCAGCGGCATGAAGAAACCGACCCTCACACAGGCCTTGGACCGAGGAGGCACCTCAATCCAGAACAGCGCACACGCGAGTGGGGTAACAGTTATGCCACGCAGAGGAATTGGCTGAACTTGCTCTGGGAGTCCCCAGAGCAAGTTCAGCCAATTCCTCTGCGTGGCATAAGTGTTACGCCGCTTGGGTGTGCGCTGTTCCGGATTGACATACGAGAAAATCCCTCTCTGTTCCGGATTGCCATACGAGAAAATCCCTCTCTGGCAACTAGAGACTCCATCCATATGCTTTTACTAACGAGCGCTCAGTTAACACTATATTACCATATGATTTCCTTTCTCTGCTTCTATCTCTCTATACGCTACTTGATTTGTTGTTGATGTTGTACAGAACTCCTATAAAAAGCTTCCAGAGGTAAAACCTAAGCGACTACACCACAGCCTGAATATTAACTGACACACACTAGACACTCACCTCGACAACTCACACGTAGGTGTGACATACCACAGCTACTTAGCATACAACGAGCTATACACAAGTACCCTCCGTTGATGGACGCTTCCTAGCTTGCGCCGAGGACCACAAGCACTGCACCGGACACCACAACCACCGCAGACTCCGCAACCGCTGTAGCTTGACTGGAGTCTCGCCTTCTTCCCTCCACCCTGGATCAGCTTCTGTCCTCCAGGACCGTGTGGGAAAGACCTCTTCCTTCCACCCTGTATGAACCTCCAGCATCCAGGACTGTGTGGGGAAGACCTCTCCTCCAAGGAGAGCATGTCAGGAACAAGCTCTTAAAAGAGCTAAGTGATTCAAGCTCAGGGGAGCATGCAGAGCATAGCAATCCCCAGTGTGATTATAACAGCTCCTTCCAATAACGAGACAAGGCTACGTTTAGAGAGATCAAGAAGAACTGTCTAAACCTTTATTTTACTTGGGACTAGCCCATATGGTCATTACATTAACAATGTGGTGAAAACTCAATAAAATTACAAACAGCCAAATCATAGCAGGCAACATACAGTGACTTATTATAACACAATGGCATATTTTAAAGGGGTGATGGGGCAACACGCTGTGGGGACTTGAGGGGCAGAAGCCAGTGGCACTCTGCCCTGATGCCAGCTCTTCCGCTGGTATAGCCTGCAGGACATCATGCTCTGGACAAGGGACAAAGGGAGGGCAGAGGCCAACTGCACTCTGTCCAGCTGCCAGCTCTTCTGCTGGGGTGCTTGGGACATAGTCTGGCTCAGTAGCCAGGGGAACATGAGGGTTAACATCTCCTCTGTTAACCCTGGGGCCAAGTTAGGAGTTAGCTGGGGAGGGGAGAATTGGCTTACCTCCTCCTCCCTATACTCCTGCGATGGTAGCTGGGGATCTGGTCCCATCTGCGCCGTCTGGAAAATTGGTGTCTCCCCTTGGTAGGGTAAGCTGCCGCTGGGGAGAGAGGGGGCTGTGCTCCTCTCCCTGAAACGCATGCTGCCGCTGGAGAGAGGGAGACTGACGGTCTCCACTCCCGTAACATTGTCCTGCTGCTGGGGAGAGAGACCAACTTTCTCTCTCCAGCGGCAGCATGCGTTTCAGGGAGAGGAGCACAGCCCCCTCTCTCCCCAGCGGCAGCTTACCCTACCAAGGGGAGACACCAATTTTCCAGACGGCGCAGATGGGACCAGATCCCCAGCTACCATCGCAGGAGTATAGGGAGGAGGAGGTAAGCCAATTCTCCCCTCCCCAGCTAACTCGCACTGCCGCTGGGGAGGAAGGACGACACCTTCGGCTCCCTGGGACCCACACTGCCGTTGGGGAGGAAGGACAACACCTTCGGCTCCCTGTAACTCGCACTGCCGCTGGGGAGGAAGGACGACACCTTCGGCTCCCTGTAACTCGCACTGCCGCTGGGGAGGAAGGACGACACCTTCGGCTCCCTGTAACTCGCACTGCCGCTGGGGAGGAAGGACGCCACCTTCGGCTCCCTGTAACTCGCACTGCCGCTGGGGAGGAAGGACGACACCTTCGGCTCCCTGTAACTCGCACTGCCGCTGGGGAGGAAGGACGACACCTTCGGCTCCCTGTAACTCGCACTGCCGCTGGGGAGGAAGGACGCCACCATCGGCTCCCTGTAACTCGCACTGCCGCTGGGGAGGAAGGACGCCACCTTCGGCTCCCTGTAACTCTCACTGCCGCTGGGGAGGAAGGACGCCACCTTCGGCTCCCTGTGACTCACACTGCCGCTGGGGAGGAAGGACGACAAAATTCAGATCTTGGCTCTTATCTTCTAGAAAAGAGATTTGGCATTAGAACATCTGACTAGATTTTTCAAAGCTTTATATCTGCTGCTTCCTACCATCAGAAAGCTTGTTCCTTCATGGTTCTGTTAGCCTTATCTGAAGCTCCAATGAAACCACTGGAATGTATTTCTATCAAGATCATTACTATTATTTTTTTTTTGTGTGTCTGTGACATCTTCTTTGAATTACATGTATTGGCTTCATCTACTTCCAACAAGATTCTAACCAATTACATTTTTGGGTGTCTGCCTGCCTTTTTCTCCAGATTAGAGGAAATCCTAGTCGTAGTGCACTGCATCTAATGCTAAGAAAAATGAAATGTGCACTTTCCTGAATGTCCTCTTAAAACTTCCCATAAGCCTTGAAGTCCAGGCTTTTTACATTACCCAATGTAATTATGAAAAGTATTTGATCAGATTAAGCTTATATAAGTAATTTAATTATTGGTTAAAGTGGCCATCTGTACTGAAATGACTGCTTGACTGTAACTTGCTAAATGAGAAACGCATGGAATCAAAAGTTAAATGTGTTTCTAACGTGAATCTCTTCTTTGTATTTTCTAGCTTCAATTTGCTGAAGATGAATCTCTGACCCGAAGAAAGCTCGACATTCTACTGTTTTAATCTTACAAATATCTAGTGTGTTTTATAAAATCTCTTTCACCAAAAACTGTGTTGCTGTTTTTTGTAAATTCCAGTCATATGAGATACGTGTGATTTATAAATAGTAACCATGTTACCCCAGCTGTCCGTATGCATCCTGCACTGAGTTTCAAAACTATGATTGGCAGCTGTCACTAGTCTGTCTGAAATAAAGGTTTTTGGATCCCTCGTTAATCAGTTCTCTCTGATGCCACCCACCATTTAATAAAAAATAAAAAATTGTTACCCTGGGACCAGCTTCATTTAACGTTATTTATGGATTGATGATCCCTCTGGGTCTTCTATTTAGGTACCACCTTCTGCAAGTATCTAAGATGACGGCACCTGAAAACAGAATACTCTACAGTAGTTGTCAACTTTCTGGTTCTACATAAGGAAAAGTCCCTACATTTTGTTATGTATAACTTAGGGGGGGGCGGAGCATTTACAAAAAAAAAAACACTGAATGCAAGGGGGGATGTGAGATATGACTTATAGATTGAAAAGTACTGTGCTGCTTTAATAAATCAGCACATATTTACATTCTAGTTAGAACGGGCCCTCTCTAAAAGTAGCTATTTGCCGTTTATGAAAACTATTTTAGCTGCTGCTACTACATACACCCCAATGCCGGCGCCATAGTCACCAATAAAACTGGCTTATTCCTGTTGTAATGAATAATAAATTAACTGTATTTTGGTGTGAATTTAAATCTTTGAAATAAAGTCTCAAGGTTAACATTGGTTGTCTGCTTCTGATATGAGAAAAGAGCATAAGCTGAGAGCAGTGTGTTTGTTCAAGTGGATTGGTAACCTGGAAATGATAGCTGATGATGGAGCTGTAGGACTTTGAGGTGATGTGAAGGCAGCAGAGTGTCTGAAAGGGGAGTACAGTATATACTCGAGTATAAGTCTAGTTTTTCAGCACATTTTTTGTGCTTAAAAACACCCACTCGACTTATACTCGAGTCACTGTCTGTATTATGGCAACTTAGAGAGCCACGGCCGTCAGAGCCATGGCAACAATCCGCGCGGCAACCAGACCGCAAGACTTACAGTGGCGCTGACCGGAACGTAGGAGAAGGGAGCTGACAGGAGCTGCAGGAAAGGTAAGTAAATGCTTCCTGCTGGCCCCCCCACTTCACAGCCCATGCCACTGAACCACCAGGGATTAAGATAGCCCCCCTCCCTGACCACTTAACAAGCAGGGAGGGGGAACAAAAAAAATTTAAATAAAAAAATATTAAAATAAAAAAAATTTAAATAATAAAAATGCCCTCCCCCCACCCAGTTCACACACACTACACAAACACACACTCTGCATTATATACACACTCTGCATTATATACACAGTGTGTGTATATAATGCAGAGTGTGTGTTTGTATGAGTGTGTGTGAGTATATAATGCAGAGTGTGTGTTTGTATGAGTGTGTGTGTTTGTATGAGTGTGTGTGTGTGTATATAATGCAGAGTGTGTGTTTGTATGAGTGTGTGTGTATATAATGCAGAGTGTGTGTTTGTATGAGTGTGTGTATATATAATGCAGAGTGTGTTTGTATGAGTGTGTGTGTATATAATTATAAAAATCACAGAATTTCATAGCCCCAAGATTTACCCTCGACTTATCCACGAGGCATAGCATATTTCACAATTGTTGGTCACAAAACTGCACTCGACTTATACATGAGATCGACTTATACACGAGTATATACGGTAATCATAGCGTTAGAAATACAAACCTCTTTTATATTCCTAATTTCATAATCACGCTTTCTACAAGAAATCTCAATTCTGCATTCATTATCATTTTTATTTTATTTCTTGGTATTTTTTAATTTGTGACTAGTTCAGGAATGATGGCCCCAATATCCTGCTATTTTAGGGAGTCTGGTAGTTTTGGGCATATCCCTGTGAACACTAGTTCAGTTCGAAAATGTTCTAGAAGGGATCCTTCCCTGAGTACTGTTACAATGGGAATAATGTTCTAAGAATGGCAGTATTCTTTAACATGTTCATTATACAGCGCAAAAAATGGGTCGCAAGAGTATTCTGAGAACGCACAGCCGCTAAAATAGCCTGGCCTTCGGTGGGTCCACGCTCAGAACTCAAGCTAGTTTTAGCTCATCTTGTGCCATTACAAAGAGAACATATCTGAAGCATATCAGACTGGTCCCATCCATATGGGCAGTCCAGATCCGAAATGTCAGCAAGTTCTCTCTGCACGAGAGATACAGCAACCCCAGACGATCGTTTCAGCCTTGTTAGGCATCATCTGTGAGGCACACAAAGAAAACAAAAACTATCCCTTACTGAGATAGTGAGTGATATACTAAAGTGCCTGAATAAAAGCAGCTCAACACAAAAGGTGGAATACCTTAATCCACAATGAAGTGCAAAATACAAGAAAATGCAAAATACAAGAAAAAAAGGTATAAACAATATACCAGCAAGTGGAGCGCTATATTGAATATATATATAAATAATGAGGGGGTATACTCACCCCTCCAACATAGTGATACAATGTGTCCAAATGTACATACAAAGTAAAACAACAAAAAGAGAGAATATAGTGCAGATGGTTTACAAAAAATAAAAAATGAATAATGGTAGCAATTGGTTGAAACCACTCACGTGGGTTGGAGCCTATAAGCTATTGGCTCCGTAAGTGACTCCTTCTTGCTCTTGAGGCAGCAACACACCCCTTTATCCCAAACGATATTCTCCCGAAGATATGGAACAAACAGAGAGAGAGAACCTCATAGATGGTATTGTACAGATGGTGTATACAATATAGTGAGATAGTAATAGATATGCTCACCTTAGACAGAGCCTTGAATTCCTGGCTCTGAGGTTTATTGGCAATGTGCTAATTTATTGGGATAGCATTCCCCACATGGTGTTCCTGGAGGCTAGAAAGGACTATATGGACTAATATATAAAAAAATATAACAATTTATTGTAGAGATAAAAAAATAATAATAAAAAAAAACAATATTTAGACTTCTCAAAAGCACATAAGCTAAATGATGGAAAGTCCAAGTATAAAAGTCCAAACTCCAGCTAGCTGATATCTCTCTAGGCACCGTGAGCAAGGGGTCCACGTCTGGATTACCCTTTAAACTAATGGAGAGCAAAAAATGGGTCACAAGAGTATTCTGAGAATGGAAAACAGCTAAAAATGTTCATTATACAGTATCTCACAAAAGTGAGTACACCCCTTACATTTTTGTAAATATTTATCTTCTCATGTGACAACACTGAAGAAATGACACTGTGCTACAATGTAAAGAAGTAAATGTACAGCCTGTATAACAGTGTAAATTTGCTGTGCCCTCAAAATAACTCCACATACAGCCATTAATGTCTAAACCATTGACAACAAAAGTGAGTACGCCGCCATTATTTTCCAGTACTGCCTTAACCCTCACGGGCATGGAGTTCACCAGCGCTTCACAGGTTGCCACTGGAGTCCTCTTGCACTCTTCTATGTCAACATCACGGAGCTGGTGGATGTTAGGCACGTTTGAGGATGCCCTTACCTTGCATCATTCTGTATACGAACTAACAGAACACTGAAAACCTACCCAGCTCGTATTCCAAACAAATCGTACCGATCACCCAGGACCGTCGTGTGCAGCTAGTTAACCCCCATGACCTTCTCTAACCACAATCCCTGAACATTCTAGGTGGTCGGCTGGATGGACGAACACGAGGTGGCGGCCATCTTGTTTTGACGAACGCTTCCAGCAGGGTTTGGTCATTGAGTGCAACTATTATCAGACACTCAACGGCCCGGACACCACTGAGACTCCCATCCCCACTTATGTTTGTTCCCGTTCATCAGATGAAAGCGGTGTTCGTTGAAACCAAACTCTCGAACGAGGGATACACAACTAGCCTACTCACGAACGGTTGCTTTCGGTATTTTGTTATATTTAGAGTTCCTGAAAGAGACCGACCGCACAGCCTGAATCTCTGGAACTATTTTGGGCAGGAGCCTCGTGTGCACGTGGTCAGAAACAAGATAGTCTTATCTCATGATTGTAGCGACCAGCTATACCTGCTATAATCACCCAGCTCTTGTAAGAGCTATACTATCCGGCAAAATCGGAAAACATCTCTCTGGACAAAGGGAAAAGAATGGCTAAGGTGGCGAAAACCCCTCATCCTCTCTGGGTAGCAGCCACATTGTGTTTGGGGTTGTTATGATGTTAGAATACTGCCCTGTGGCCCAGTCTTCAATGGGAGGGGATCATGTTCTGCTTCAGTATGTCACAGTACATGTTGGCATTCATGGTTCCCTCAATGAACTGCCGAGTACCGGCAGCACTCCTGCAAGCCCAGACCATGACACTTCCACCAGCATGCTTGACTGTAGGCAAGACACACTCGTCTTTGTGACAAATTGGAAAAAAACAAAGATATAGGCCACCCAGGTGCAGTGAATGCGAATCAATAAAAAAAAAGTTAATTACCCCCTTTTTTGGATGTACGGTATAACAAAAGGAGTGAAGACCAATGAGAGAAATTCCTATCTTAGTATCTTAATAACACTTTATCATTGGTCTTCTTTTAGTTCAGCCTCCATCAATTTCTTAGATCTACCTTTCATGTAATTAAGACAAAGACTTTCTTTAAACCAACAGATATGAACTGCTTCATTGAGTCTAGCAGTGGACACCATCAAAGATGGGTCTCGGGAGTTCCAAAGAGCCAATATACTAGACTCAGAGGGAACTGTTCAGATCTAGAAACTTATTCCGAACAAGCAGAGATTTTAACTAGAAAATTCCTGGGAAAGGGTTACCAATTTGAATCCCTACAATCAGAGGTTCAAAGAATCAGGGATATCCATAGAGGAGATCTCCTTATTGATAAACCAAAGAGGGTCCCTAACTCTAACCGCCAGTTTAAATACTCTTTCCATGCACAATATAATTCTAAGACTTTCTCTAGCCAGCATATTCTGAAAAAACATTGGTTTTTTCTCCAGCTTGATGAATACTTGGGACGAGAGCTGCCAGATAGACCACAAGTCATTTATAGGAAAGGAAGGAATTTTGCAACCTGTCACGGCTTACCTTAGTTGGGAGTCCGGTAGTGTGACCATTCCTTTGTCTCTGGGTTAGAAATTCGTCATTTTGTTTGTTTATTAACCAAAAAAAAAAAACTTTCCCTTCAACAAAATTGCACTTCGGATACAGTCGAAGTGTCGAAATAGTCAATGTGGCCGCCATTTGTATAGTCGAACACGTAGCGGCGGCCATTTTACTTAGTTGAACGAGGTCAGCTGTGTTTTGTCATCTGGTTCATAGAACTCAAATCGGACACGTGACGGCACGAACACCGCTGAACTTTACCTTCAACAGGAGTCGAACTGCATTCGTCAATTCGAACTGCACATTTTACATTAAAGGACCACTCTAGGCACCCAGACCACTTCAGCTTAATGAAGTGGTCTGGGTGCCAGGTCCTTTTAGGGTTAACCCATTTTTTCATAAACATAGCAGTTTCAGAGAAACTGCTATGTTTGTGAATGGGTTAAGCCTTCCCCTATTTCCTCTAGTAGCTGTCTCATTGACAGCCGCTAGAGGCGCTTGCGTGCTTATCACTGTGATTTTCACAGTGAGAGCACGCCAGCGTCCATAGGAAAGCATTATGAATGCTTTCCTATGTGACCGGCTGCGCGCGCGCATTCAGCCGACGGGGAGGAGAAGAGGAGGATCGGAGGAGGAGAGCTCCCCGCCCAGCGCTGGAAAAAGGTAAGATTTAACCCCTTTCCAGAGCCGGGTGGGAGGAGGTCCCTGAGGGTGGGGGCACCCTCAGGGCACTATAGTGCCAGGAAAACGAGTATGTTTTCCTGGCACTATAGTGGTCCTTTAACTATGTGCACGAACGGTTCCTGTTCAACTATTCAAACTAAACTTCAACATTGAAAATGACCAGCTGCACAGCCTAATTCTCTAGAACTGTTTTGAACGGTCGGTCAAAAGAGACTTACAGAAATTTCCTGAACCCCTGCTCTGATCTGGGTGATTTTTGGATATGTTGTTCACCCAGATCAGGGCTATCAGGGAATATGTGTAATTTTGGGTACTTGTGCCATATTTTAAAAATTTGGTTTTTTTCTGTTAAAGTTAATTGAGTTAGTCCTTTGTCTTCAGTAATTATATCACAGGCAGAGGGGAGGGATTGTGTACAGTATGTGGGAGTGTTATTTATGAACACACTGTTTCTGATTGGCCAGTATGTTTTAATGTCTGGTGCCCAAAAAGGTCCAGCTGGGCGTCAACCTTGTTGGGAAAATTGTATATAAATCAAGCCTGTATCATTAAACTTTCAGACTTCTTCATCCTCAATACTAAGTTCTGTCTCTTATTGGGGGAAACTGCTATATCACAATCACTAGCTCTTATAAGAGCTGTTCCAGCTTCTCCTACAGATGACTCTGGGATTACTACAGCACCTCTCACTCTTGGGAAAAGGACGTCTCTGACAGTGAAACCCCTTCTACCCATAGGGGTACAGCTACAATTGGTGGCAAGCGGTGGGATGGTCCTTTCTACCCAGAGAGAGTGCTACCCTGATGGAGAGTCAGTATGACAAATTGAAAAGGCTGACTCTGAAGGACTTACTCTAGAGACGAGGGAGGCACACTAGCAACAATCCACGGCGGGAACTGATAGCTGAGCTGGTCGAGCTGGATCGTGCAGCAGCTA